CTTCATGTCACATGAGTGTCACAGAGGTCAGGCATGAAGAAGTCAGCGGTCACACCATCACTGACCGAGTCGATATTCAGGAACTATGCAGTATCCTGATTTTATCCAATGCAGCTGTGTGTGTGTGTATGTATGTGTGTGAATGCTACAGGGTGTGTGTTAGGAGCAATAAAGGACACACAGGGTGCGTCTCACTTCGGTTATTTTTCATTTCCTCGGGCTCGGTATCACCGGAAGTTGATTTGTCTGCGCCATCTTGAGTACCGTCCCAGTGGCCTTATTTTTGCCGGAGGATCGAGGATCGAGGATCGAGGAGCGATAACGGAGGAGCGATAATCGAGGAACTACCAGACCATCCTCCGGTGAAATCCTCAGACACTCGCCCCGCCCCCTTACTGTGTATCGCTCACTGATTGGACGATGCAGCACATGCACATGATCTGGCTGCTGTCAGACGATCAGCTGTGCGGCGTCATCACAAACGGACGTCGCTTCACGTGACGCTCCGGAGGAAACGACGTCCCATTGCTCTTAAAACTCATTTCCCTGCTTCTCGTGGTTTCCTTGCGTCTCTCCATGCTTCCCTGGTGGGAGGGACTAGTCGCAGGGAAAGGACGCAAGTGAGGGACGCAAGGATTTAATTTAACCGAAGTGAGATGCACCTACAGTGTGGGGGGGGGGGGGGGGGGGGGGGGGGGGGGGGAAGTGACCAGATACGGCCAAAGTACGTAAGCAACACCCATAACGAAAAAAAGCATACAGAGGCTAATGTTGTGTTAAGCATTTATGGGGGAAATGATTCAAATTCAGACTGAATTCATCAAACGTAGAGAATGTTAAACAACTTCTCATTTCAAACTACTAAAAAGATCATCCAGAAGTGATGCTATGTATTTTGTAATTGTCAACACATCCCATAAAAAGACCAAAACCAACAATAAAGGTTTTTTACCATGTCTTTAGCCCACTGGTTCCTCCTATAGTTTTGTTATAGTAACAGGTCAGGAATAGATACTTCAAATCTTAAAATAATGCTAAATGTAACGTTAAACTACTTGGGCACTGAGGTTTTTAGAAAAAGTAACTCAAACTGGAGTAAACAATGCATTTGTTGGGGACTATTTTCAGCATCTACTGTAGTTCTCTATATACTGCAGCAGGACGTGTAGGTAGGATCAAACCAAAGTAGACCATTGTGGCCGTTTTCATGATAATTGTAAACTTGGCAATTAGTACAGATGTAGGACAGACATACTGTGACAAATACAAACTAATAAGAGGAAGACGTGCTAATTATTACTCCACTGATTGTGGCCTAAAACATCCAGAATGCATTGCAGCCACATGACCTGTTTTTGTTTTGTTTTTTTAAATGTGAGCTGAGACTTTTCTTCTCTCACTCGACAAAACAACACATAAATCCACAGCTTTATGCAACTACATCATGCTCGGGGTTGAAAAGCATTCTGGGAAATCACACTGCATCAGAAGCAAATGCATGGAGAGAATAAGTACAACCTAAAATAAATGATAATACTCCTATAAACAAACAGATTGTTTAATAATATAAGTGTCTGCTTCAATATTATCTGCAGTTCCAACATGGTTTCAATTTTGCAGATTTGATTCATTAAAAAACACGACCTTGATATACATATTGGACATTTTCTCGGCAGACGCCAGTAACAACAATGGAAACCTGACTACTTTAATGTAGTATCAATTCAAGTGTGTCTGAACAAAGGCAGATGCTATTTGAGATGACCAACACACACACCACCACCTCCAGCACCATTGTGGAAGTGTCTATAAATACACCTGGTTAGAGAATGCATATAGCCGCACTAACACGGTATGTGAGACATTGACCTCATCCTGGTATTGTCTTACATGAAGCCCTGAGCGCTGCGGCAGCAGGTTGGAGCGTGATCCGACTGTCAAGCAAGGAGGCTGCTGGGATCGCAACAAAACAATAGATCCATCTTTCTTAAAGCCATCACTTCGGGAGGTCAGACTGGAGAGAAAAGCGGGTCAGCGGGTTGGCTGATTGAAATCATTTTTTAGACCCTTTACAGTAGATTGATGTTGGAGCCCCTCCCTAAATCTGATGATGAGATTATCCCCATGATCTCATACAGACTTCATCCTCAGAGCTGGTAGATTACGATAAATCTGTGAGAAAAGTGATTGGATGTCACCGAGTATGAATAAATGTTAACTATGAGATCATATAGGACAGATGTGTTTTATTGAAAAAATAAAAAGAGACTATGTCCACCTACCTATAACGCTGGGGTGCTGCAAAATATAGTGCTTTATTCCCTTCAAATATAACATAACCAGTAATTAGATTCATCACGACAACACAATTGGGAAAACAATTTACTACTATATATTTGTTATTTCTAGGAGATAGGGTTGGCTATTTCAACAGGGTTTCAAGGGTGTGTTTACATCATGTGTGAATCAGTTCAAAATCATACATTTTGTTTATGTGCCCATCACAATGCAGACCAACTACAAGCTTCTGTAATCGTAGACATGGGATTTTAGCCTGAATTTGCTCAATGTGACTTTCCAAAGTCACATTGAGTCTGGGAAAGTAGCTTAAAACTGTTTCTCGCTAAAAAGAGGGGGACATTTGGCAATCCTAGCTAACCGACCACAATATTACCGCACAGTCATCTCATCACATTTCTGATAGTAAAGGATTTAAACTCTGGTTTTGAATCAGTGACCGCTTCCTAAATATGAAATGCATGTATAATCACAAACCATTTCCACTCCAAATAAATGACTTTAAGAAGCTCCACTCGGGTTGACATACAGGCACAGGTTTTCTTCCTGATAAAAAGGTATGAATGTGGTTGTTATAATGGACAGCCCATGATGTTGAAGGAGCAGCAACAACAACACAGAGAGATAAAGTAAACTCAAACTAAATATGTATTGGTCTTCAAACAGCTCCATAATGCTATATGAATTATTAAAATGAAAGATATTTCTATTCAAACAGCATTATCCTTGCATGTGGCTGCTGTTGTGATGTTTTTATCCACCGTCACTGGGTAGAAACAGCCACTGTGGATGCTCTTCTCCTGCCGTCTTCATGTGTTTAAAAATGAAGCTTTTGGAGCCTTCACTGGGCAGCTGGAGCTGTCAGAGCAATGTTTTCAGTCCGGCTCTCGAGAGCTTTGCCACTTACGTAATAACCTGAATGAAATGTTAATGTCAGCAAAGTTGACATCGCAATGAGGGAATTCTCCTGCCCTAATGAGCAGCGAGGGGGGGGGGGGGGGGGTCAGACTGCACATCACCTGCAGGAGGTGGGAGAACTCGTCTGTCCTCGCCTTTCTAAATAATTCAACTGTAATGACTTTATCTCCCTCCCTGTGGCGTTTCATGGACATCGTCACGTGCAGCAACGGCTCCTCAGTGCTGTTGCTCAACATCTGCACTAGGAGGAGGAGGAGGAGGAGGAGGAGGAGGAGGAGGAGGAGGAGGGAGGGAGGGTCACCTCTTGAAGCTTTGGGCTCGTGGACAGAGACCTCAGGGGGCTGCTGGTCTGGCTGAGGCCGTGCAGGCTTGTCTTAACATGTCAACTGACTGAAAACAACCTCATTTCAGCTCCAACTGAAGCCTTTAAGAAACAAACCAACATTGTTTGCTGCTGTTTTACCAAGTCTGTGAACTCTCAAATGAATGAAATCACAGAAAAAAACTGAACAAATATGCAAATTCTCCTGAACTGCTAAGCTCCTGTGATCTTTTCCGCTGCCTTTAACCATGACATTAACTATCTCCGGCTGTTTCCATACATTTACTGCATTGAAAACACATTATGTAAGGCACAGTGGAACACAATGACCTACATGTAAAGGTTTCACTGTATATTCTCTGTATAATTAAAACTGAACATACCAACAATGTCGGATTAGTTGTTGTCTATCATTGTTTGTTAAATTAACCAGCAGAAAACATAAGAAATGCCCAAGGAAACATCTGCATATTAAGTTTGTTGACACCCTAAAGTCCAAAACCAAAATATGGTTTGATTTCATACACGACTCACAAAACCAGCAAATATTCACATCTGAGGAGCTGAAATCAGTGAATTCTTGGCATTTTTACCTACAAATGACTTCAGTTGTAAAGTGCACTGACTGAAGAAATACTTCAATAATCAATTCAGCTCTAACCTACAGGATCATAGCACATTTTCTGCTGTATGACAATATATTGGTTTGTTAATCTGTGGCTGTTTGTTGTGATCAACAGCTTACACACCCCTACACAAACTACAGTAAACTCCATCCCTTCACAGCAGCTGAACATCCTGGTGTCCAGCTGTAAAAAGCCTCAGCCATGCCCCATCAGGCAGCAGCACCCTGAACGCCTCACACAGGACGAACAATGTCACAACCAACCGTCCGTCAGCACCGTTTGGCCCAGAGAGCTGACACAGAAACAGAGAGAACTGCAGCATTTCTCTGCGACAGTAACCCAGCTCTACATTATGTATCATCATCCATTTCCACCAGTGCGTCAAGTTTATTACTGCTGCTGCACTGTCAGACTTCACATACACACACACACACACACAAACACACACACACACACTGAAGCCCAGATGTGGCGTCCAGTCCAGCATACAACATCTGTAACAGCACATTTACGCATTATGTAAGACAACAGCGTGACATGTATGCGAGGCGGTGGCGATGGAGGGGTGAGGTGAGAGAGGAGGGGAGGAGGGGGAGCCTGGAGCCCTGGGTGTTGCTGCTGTTGCTGCTGGAGGGTTTATTGACCATGTCGGTCCATTTATTTCATAACCATACGTGGTGTCATAACGCATTTGAATGGGGGAGCAGCTGATGGTAAATTGACAGGCAGCGAGAAACCCGCAGAAAGGAGGTTTGACATTCCGAGCTCTGTTTGCTACCTTCTCTGACAGCAACATGTAAATACTGAGGATTTAAAAAAGGAGAAATGGTGCTTACCTCCTCCACTGTGCCTTCAGTCTGCTGCTCCGTAAACCTCCCCGCTATAAACCCTCTTTTTCTGACGAGGAAGAGCAGGCAAGCCGTGCGCCTCCTGTCCAAAACTCCGGTGGATTTTACCGCAGGGAAACGTAGTCGTGCGTAATAACAGTCCGCACCGCGTCTGCACAAATCTCCAAAAACCCGCAGTAGATATGATCCAGTTTGTGTGTGTGTCGTAGTCCTGAGAGCTTCTGTATTTGTATGAGGCGTCCTCCTCCTCCCACAGCTCCTCTCTGCTTTTTCTGCTACAATCGCCTGCCTGTCGTCGTACCGGGCGTGCACTTGCAATGCGCGTCCACGTGAGGACTGAGCGTGCAGGGTGGGAGTTAATATGTGTTATGGGTGGGTGGGATTTGGGAGGACCCTCCTGTGTGAAATAACAGTAATTGTTTTCAAGTGAATTGCCAATTCAATTAGGATTTTATTTCGTGTTTTAAGCGGAGTGATCGAGCAGGGGTTGATAACAGGCAGTGTCACTCAGCACATGACTGACAGGAGGGCGGGGCCAAAGAACCTGAGGACACCCCCCCCCCCCAACAAACACACACACACACACACACACACACACACACACACACACACACAGATGCATTAAGGAATAAGAAACCACAATTATAGTCCTTTTATTTAAATTGGTGATTGTTAAATTTACCAGTGAAAACGTCACAGTTGTTATTCTTATTCTTATACAATTGATATTTGTTTCATTATATCAGTAAATAACATATGCATGCTTGTAATGTAATTGGATGCTTTAATTGATGTAGGCTATTTAAAATGTGTTTGTTTTGAACTACAGCATGGCCGATGTACTCATCACATTTTCCTTTTTCACTGCATGTTGGTTCTGTTCCATTCATTATTAGTTTTATCTCTCTGTTACTCAGCCCATGGTGAAGTCTGTTTTTCTATAAGAGCAAGTGAATGTATGATGACATTGTTTTCAGACATACTCGAGCTCCATTTATATAATGACATCTTGAAATCAGCTTTAAATCAGTTTGTGTTTCACATTTTTATTATAACATTTACATACTTTCATTTTGATTAATTCAATACACAATTTGATATTTTGTATTTTTGGTATCACTGTATATTTATATTTAATTTCAGTTATTTTCCTTTAGTTTCCTATTTGTTGTCTCTATTTTTCTCCCTTCAGATTCAAGGCTTTCATTAAGGCATGTTTTTTGTTTCATTTTGATTTAGACTGTATGGAAAAAATGTGTATGTATTTTGAACAATGAATGTAGAAAATGAGTCACAAAGGAAAAATGTCTAAGGAAGTTCGTTCGAAGTCATTGTTGTATGTTGCTTCATTTCTGTTTTGGAAACGATGGAGATTGTCTGTGACTTAATTATAAGAATAAGTAACAGGTTCTTTCCTCTGAAATGTGTTGACAGCGAGCTCCCTGTGAGTCAATACTGCCCTCACACACACACACACACCTCCCTGTCATAATGGATTTATCAGTTGAAAGGTCAGAGTGGTTTCATTTTCGCTCTCACCGTGGGGGGCTTCACTGAAATTCAACTCTTTTTGAGGTGCATAGAAATAACACACACAGAGAATCTTTGGTAAATCTAATTAGGGAAGATTTAGCAGCAGATCTCAGATAAACTGCTGCAGGGTGTTGCTCCTGACAGACAATACCTCTGCTGGCAGGGGATCGCCACTCTTTACCTCCAAGTGTGTGTGAGGGGAGAAACAGATCGCACACACTCCTGTGGCGAGTTTGAAAACATCCCACCTGTTTTTCATGGGATCAATTTCCAGCTTGGTGACATATTTACCAGCCAGACATTTTTGAAAAGGAAACCCTCCCTTCGGCCCTGAAAGGTGGAATCCAACTCCGCGTTGAGAGGCCCTCCAAAATGACAGGAGCTCCTCACAAAATAACAGAGACAGTAGCTGAGGGCATAGGGTGCTGCTGGAGACAATGGACCGGAAAGGTTGACATGATGGCGAGCACACGGAGGACGGGACTCTTCTGTCAACGAGAAAACTGAGACGGGATCCTTAAATAATCCATGAAAAAAGAGACAACAAAGGGGCCTCTTGGAATTTCAGCGATTGTTTTCAATAATTTGACTCTTTTTCTTCTGTACAATAAAAAGCCATGTGCAAAAATTCCTGGATTAGTTTGGAAATTCATCTCCTGCAGGCTTAAGATCCTGCCATGCTAATAGCCTTAGAAAATTGCTACTGATTTCTTGTACATCTAATATGAAGCTAACAGCTACTTTGCTTAGCTTAGCAAAGAGACTGAAAACAGGGAAACAGCTAGCCTTTCTCGATCCATTTTTCCCGCCATTTCCATGAGATCAATTGTGTTTGTTTTTCCAGGGAATCTTGAGTTTGGCATATATTTGTAGATATCAGTATATTTAGTTAGTCAGCCATGATTACTTTAGGGATAGCAAAATAAATTAAGGATATAGTATTTCACAACCAAACTCGTTGCAAAAATGTATCGTGGGAATATCGGAAATGGAAACATTTTTCTCCAGGATTGAGACATTTTCCAGACTATCACGCACCACCTGAGATGACACACTAACACCTGTCTCAGTTCCAATAAATGTGTGACGTGCCACCGTTTAATAATTTCCCGCTAATTGTTGCTTTGTGTCACAGTTTCGTTATTATTATTATTGATTTAATTAATCAAAAAAACACTGAATGAAAACAGAAACCAACTTGACAAATGGATACTTCACCTGATTCACAACAGCAAGGTAATAAAAAGATGACGTCAGTCTTGTGAAATTAAACGTTGAACGTCAGTCACACTGCAGATGCAATTGACCCAAATGTTTTTTTTAATACAGCACAAATCAAAGGAAATCTGATATTTTTTGAACTCCTAGTCCAAATGAATACATGTCTCTAGGTGGACATTTGTAGCACACTGTTCAGAGTCTTATGGAGAGACACTGACTGATGTAGTTTAAAGTAACCTTTGAAATCAGTGAAATGCGATTCAGTGAACCATTCACTTCACCGTCCCACCGCACCTGGCTCCGACTCAACATCAACACACATCTCTTTGCAGAAGTAGCAGCCATTGCTTCACAAAAAGCCCAAATTAAAAAGATAGCTCTCTTACCCTAATTTTCTTCCCTGACATCTGAGCAGTAAATCAGCAGTGAGCACTTAGGCTTGCAGTGTGACTGTAACCTTAGACTAACAGTGTTTTCAACTATCTAACAATACAAACAGTCCTCTTGGCTGGTTTGTGCCTACAATATAAGAAAAATAGAAAGGCACTTCAAGGACAACATCTTATATTTGTTTGTTTTTAACCTCTGCTTGAACTGAAAGATGTCTTCTATGAAAAAGATCAATGTGACATTTCCCTATTTTTGAAATGTGTACCATCCATGGCATTGACACATAGAAACTTGTTGCATCCATTGTTTGGGTAGTTTGACCTTTCACAGCAGGCGGATAGAGAAAAGACTGTGTAATTTTGCCAGCTAAATACATGTGAAAGTGAAATGTTGCTGGGAGAGATTGGCAGCATGACTGCGAGTGTATAAATGTTTGGTTTATGTGTAGATCCATGCCATCCTCCCCACAGTTATTGGTGTCTGGCAAACACTGCATCCTATATTTCACCTGGGTGCTGGGCACCGTTTGCCCCTGCGCTGAGTTTATAGGGGCCAATAAAAATCCCTTTGAAGCGGGCCTCCAGCATTGGCAACTAAATAATTGTTACAACAACATAAACCTCTTTAGTGATACCAAACAATTAGAGACCAAATGAGATGGATGGTTCACATCTATCACTTATCCATAATCCTCTAAGTCAATACAATGTGGGAGAAGTCATAAAACAGATAGTTTTGGGGTAATCTCCGATGTTTAAAATTACAGTCTGCAGGGAGAACAATGTGTGTCAAAGGCCTTTTAAAGATAAATGTGGTGAAGGAGCTATAAAGTGTCTTCAGGCCGATGCAGGAGGGTCTGTAAGCCAGCTCAACAACGAGCCAACAAACAAATCAAAACGCAGAATACTCCTCATCCCTGAATACACATTGCGGGTTTTATGGGTTGTTTATTGAGGCATTGCAGCTGCAACTCTCTACTTCCCTGCGCCAATCCTCGGAGAACAATGTGAGGATGTAAAAAAAATGTATAATCTCAAGGTAAACTGCAGGCTGTGGCAACTCTGGACTGAGAAACCTCAAACAAGAAACAAAAAGTGTTTTGTGCAAAGCTACAGTACTGAATATCCTATTGAGTGATGTATCATATGACAAAACAAGCTCACCTTTAAGTCTATTAAATAGCTATCCTGGATACCATGGTTTTCAAATTGAGTTTGGACATTTCAGATTATAATTTATTACATGACATGACATGTTACTTGTTACATACATTCAATACTGTGGGCAATCCCCACAGGAGTAATTAGGGGTGAAGTGTCTTGCCCAGGGACACAACGACATGCTGACTGCAGTGGGACTCGAACTTGCTACCCCCTGATTTGAAGTTCAGCGCACTTTCCACTGAGCCACAGCCTCCCTCTTGGCCCCTCTTATGTTTTAGTAAAATGTGTGTTCAGGATTGAATAGGATTAAGAAAATATCAGCAGGATAAATCCCTCGGATCAAGATGTGTTTCTTTTAGATTTATTCACTTTGGTATAAATCAATTCTTCTGTTTCAGTACCAACTCAGATATAATCATGCAGCAACACCAGCAGCAGCTGACCAGAGAGGTCAGAGGTCAGGGTCAGCTAAACTCCTGATTTACTTCACTGACCATAAATCAGCTGTTTAGCAGCTTTAAGGACATACACACTAAAGATGATTTTCCACTGTCAGTTTTATAAAGTGTTTTCAAACAGGGTGCAGTATCCCACTTTGAAGTGAAAGTGAGTTGGCTTTATTTGACCACACACTCAAGAGACGGGGGCCCCCTGGTGGTAAAAACAATTCATTACAAAAATACACACCCTGCTCTCTCACTGCCAAAGACACTTGAGGTTTTGTTATATCTAAAGAAGACAGTAGAAATAAATCAAAACTGAAATCACAAATTAAAATACCAGTTGTAATATATTGATCTGCTTTTACTTTGATTCACCTTTTCATTAAATCTGCATTTCAAATACAAAACATAGTCTTTCAGCAACTTTTTTTCCCCTGCGCGAATACAGAAATGTTCTGATACAAATGTTCTATTTTATTACGTTTTTAAACGAATAACTAAATACATAAACAGATAAAGTGTCGCGCCTATACGTCGTCGACACAACGCTTTTCG